CCCTACACTGTATGCAATAGAGACCTCAGAAGCGTATTCAGACTCAGCACAGAGAGGGCAGGCTGTTGACCATGTGAAGTCAAGTTAGCATATTTGAATTTTCTTGTGCTGATTTTACTACATTTTTACTATACTGCTCAAGTTTTTCTGCTAAATTGTGGTCGAAAAGGTAACATTTTAGATTAAGCCAGCCTTTCTTCACTCAGAACAGCATTATATTGAGTTTAAAAATCTCCAATAATGTTTCCGAGGCCTTAGAAGTTTCCTAGTACATGCTACCTGGTAATTAAAACCATTCTGTCAACTGGACAGAATGACCACAGCAACAGTAGTACATCCCTATACCGTGACTGTCTCCAGCCCATCAGTTAAAGCAGCTTTCAAAGTACTTTGAGCCAGAAGACTAGAAAAAAGTAGAAGAGTAATAATAGAAGAAATTTGAGACAGATATTTAAGCAACACATGAAGCCCATTAGGATTTAACACTGCATGTCTTGCCTGCATCTATGTATTTATTCGCCTCTACTGCTCCTATTGCAGGCTCCCATTTTTTAAATGCTTAAAAAAAACAGAAGAGCACTATATAATGAAAGCTATATTCCTGAGGGTGGGCTGGCTATCAAACTTAAAAGCTTTTCTTTCAAGTGCATTTGAGTAACCTTAGCAACTGAACAATAGCTTGTTTTAGTTGAATCTTTCCTCTAAACTGGAGATCTTTTACATGATAGGAAACTCACCCATCCACTCTTATATTAAACTAATTAGGAATACTCATACCAGTAATACTTCACAGGCTCGAAAATACATATTTAATGTCACCAATTGTACTAGTACTGATTAAAGTTCCAAATTCCATCTTTGGCTGTCAAGTAAGAATTCCAGGAAAAGGAAAAACCAAGATTCAACATTCCCAGTGTTGTAATATAAAACTGTTAAGAGCATTCTAAACTTGATTATTCACAGCCTTGTTTTACTCCCACTGGTCAAATACTTAAAAGACTAGACACCTTTTAATGACTGACAAGATTCTGGCTGTACTACTTCCTAACCATTTGAAAGACAGTAGGTTGGCATATATAGTATAACTATTTTTAGTGAGTGATGAAGTCTTCGCATCTGTCAGGGAATTTCAATCAATTTTTATTAAGAATAACTTAAAATTGCAAGAGAACCTAAAAGATAGGAACTTGTACATTCAGTATCTTCTTTTGATCTGAAGAGCTTGCATCTTTTCCATGTGGGAAGATCACTATACAGGCACAGCCCCCTGCCACTACTGTTGCTGTGAGTATTACACTATTGAGTAGGCTTGGAACAACAGAACCCAAGGCAGTTTAGAAGTTTTCTCCAACAAACCAGCGTGAAGTCTGTTACATAGCTTTTCCCTCCTTGTAAGACAGACCTAGACTACAGGGCAATGAATGAATACTCACTTGTGTTAATACACTGTCACCACAGTGGAGATTATTTTATAGAATCTGAACACAAATACTTTTGAAAACATAACATATGCAATGAGTTAAGATCATATGGCTTGGCAAGTCTGAAACAAATTGAAGTGACATCTTATATTCCTTCTGCATAATTTAGTTTAGCCTATTTAGCAGAGCTATGCCATTTTCACCACTTAAGAAGTTAGCCAGATAGTAGTGTAAATATTATAAACTGAATGGAATGTTGAGATGATACAAACCAACATACCAGATCAAGTTGTATCATCTACAGGAATAACACGCAATTATTAACTCCGTCTCCCGTTCCATTTTCAGTTTATAACAGCAACAACAATCTTAATGCAAGCCACTTCCTAGAGTTTAATGACTGACTAGGATTCTGATCTGAGACATATCTTGGACAATGTTGTTGAGCCAGTCGTTAATCTCTTAGAAAAGCCGCCACTGGATTGTTATTGCTTATAGTTAGTAAATCTAGATAGTGCCCATGCCATGTCTTCTTCACAAGTCTCCACCACCTTACCAGCAAAATATTTAGCCCTGTCCTTCTTACCATGGTTTATGACCTGTCAATCTGAGCAAAAGATCGTGCAAAAATGCAGGCACTGTATGGCTGACTGCAGTCCGATATTGACACAAGAGGGGGTTGGATTGTAAGCTAAAGTCAGGGTGCCTTACTGCACCTTCTAACGGATTTATCTTGAAATTCAAATTAATGTGGTATCCTGTAGGAAAAAATAAGGATCAACATATTTTGAATATTTATTATTCAAGAACAAACATCACTTGCTAGATCTTGTAATTCTGTTTACCTTGACTACTCAAACCCCCAAACTATCCAACAAAAACATCCTCATTTTTGCTAGAAAGTTCAAAGTCACTTTGAATTCAAGGACCTGTTCTCAGGAAAAAAAGGCTGGGTTTTAGTCACAAAGCATTCAGGGGAAGAAAAAAATTTAAAAAAATAATCAATGTACATCATAGTGTAAGCATAGCTTACATATAGTCAGAGGAACAGACAAGACAGAGCTAGTCACCATTACCTTGGGCTTCTTCCAGTAATCCTGAGGTAGATATCATACAGGAATGCTGGGGCCTTATGGCTTACAGCAATCCAGTAATGATATAAAAGGTGATTGGAAGTTAGATTTACATTGGGCCGTCTGAAGGCCTGTTCGAGAGGATTCCTCTTGAAAGTAGAAATTACATGGTATTCTGAGAAAGAAAAGTTGCGTAACAGCTTTGATAATAACCATGTAAAATTTAATGGTTTTCAAAGTACATTACAGTGTACAATATTTACTTCAGTATGTTATTTAAATAGCCACCCTAACTCTTCTACAATCCACAGAAACTAAAACAAAGTCGTAAGCTTTTAACCTAAAATACTGTTAAACCGGTTCTTATTATAATCAAGAGGTCTTTTATGCCTTTATCTTCAGTATCATATTTTATTGTAGCTTCTCTCTTTCTGTTCCTCTTCCCTACCTTAGAAACTGTTGATCTCAAAAATTCACAGCAATTTCAGTTTTTATAGCATGTAAAGCTATTTAAATAGTCATCTATATTCCATGAAGAAGGCTATTCTAATCTCTTGTGTGAAGAATAATTTAAAAAACAGACTGAGGACTTTGCAAGCATCTGAAGTGCATTTCAAATGACATTTTTAAACAACTTATCCATATTTGAGCGTTAAGAAAAAAGCAATTAGGATGGGACTCCATGAGAAACTCCTGCTGACACCTGAAAATTCTGTACGTGACAGATATGCAGGATCAGTGTCTTAAAAAGTTAGTTGAAATTCACCTCATCTTTGTAATCATCTCTTGTAACTTTATTCTGTTGTTATAGACAGTGTTTAAATACCCCGATTCAAATTGGGATAAATGAAGTCAGGATTTTCCAAGTTTGGCTGAAGCAGTAAGGTTTATAAATACAGACGCATATAAAATGGGCAAAAGCAAGTAAAAAGCATGAAGAAAGTAGTCAAGAGAAATAAAATAGATTTAAGTATTTAAGTTAACTAAAAGAAAAAAAAATACTCTGAGCTTAAGAACTCTGTTTCTAAAAAAATGAAAGCTAACAAACAGCTTTAGCATGCCAGTCAGCTTGTATTGCTATAACAAAAACTATTACAAAGCTTTTGGCATGTGGGTTACACTCTAGTCAGGATATTTAAGAGCTGAAAATAGGTGGCCATACTTTCTTAAAGATTACTTTTCCCTGTACATGAATAGTAGAAGTCTCATGTAGCTATCTGAAGATTAAAAAAGCCACCTCAAATCAACAACTAACTTAAGCCAAACACAACAAAGAGCTACACAAGTGCAAAACTATTACCATACCTCTCAATTATGCAGATGTACAAAACATCTAATTGTGGGCTGTTTATCCATATGTATTTAGTAAAGTTGGCATTAAACCCAACATCACTACGGCTCCTCTGAGCAATGTTTTTCTCTGCACACTACCCACACTCTGAAGATTAGGTCATGGCAGCATCAAAAGAGAAAAATCAGTTCTCCCATAGTTTAAGTTATAATGGAATTAAAAAAAAAAAAAATCAAGAACAAAATGAAACTGTGATAACGCTATAAGGGGAGAGAATTAACGTGGAAGATAATGAAAAAGCACAATACACTGCAAAGTTGAGAGGTATGGCTATTATACTAGTTTCAACAATAAAAATGCAGTATGACGTACTGATTATAGCCTGTGCTTTTATTATTTGACCTTATTTTTCTATTAAAGCTTATAAGAAAAAAAGAAACATGGCATACCAAGTTCACCCCAGTGGAAAGGATTGGTGCCACCTGTTGTACAGTTATATACCATGACATTTCTTGGTCTAGGGGGAAAAAGACAAAAGAGCAAGTTAGAAGACAAACCACCTTTTAAGAACACAGACAAAAGACATACCCAAAGTTATCCTTTCCCTTAACAGCATCATTTACACAAAGCAGAAAGCGTCAGTCCTATGTTAGATTTTTCACTCCCTATATCATCTTCCAGTATTTTTCTACTTCTTTCACTATCATATTTCTTTTCTTTCAGAGAAGGCATCACCTACATTACTGTAGATTGTATTGATTACAACAAGGCCCAGGAAAGAATTTTCAGGCATAACTTATACAACAGTATCAGTAGGTGATGTCTTCCTCTTTGGCATAAGGAAGTTACATTTTCAGGGACTAACGCTGTTAGAACCTTAGATTCCTTTGTTCTGGGGGGAATGGCAGGACACTGATTAGAAGTTCGATAGAAGACTGATTTTTTAAAATACACAATATCATTTCAAAATACTTAGTACTCTCTATTGTCACCTGTTATACCTATTAATTCCAGAATACCAGGCTGCAGCCAGTGTCATATTGACAACAACATCTACTGGAACAAGATCTGCTACTGCACTGTTGGAAGCTCTCATTGTTCGAAGAATTCCTTTTCCTGCCTTAAAGAACAAAACAACAACAAAAAAAAAAGAGACAGAAGACCCACCAGTAAAACATATGAAGCTTTGTTGCCTTCCAAAAGGAGGAAAAAAATTTAAGTATATTCATTACTTACAGCAATGAAGAGACCACTAGGTCCGTTGAAGTTATCAATCCATCCCTATTATGAACAGGGGGGAGGGAAAGGATTTGGTTAGAATATATTGAAGTCAGCAGTTTCAAGTGAAAATCTGAGAAGTTTCTACAAGTATAAGGGGTGGAGGGAAAAGAGAATAGAATAAAGAGGAGAAAGATAGTCATTTCTATGTCTCTAAATGAAGTTCTTCCATAGCAAAGTCTGGTGATGTAACAAGTTGCTATGACTCAGACAAGAGATCTACCCATAGATTCACTGGTCCTTCAGAGTGAGATGCTAGCTTGTTTATTTCTCAGTGAATAAACTGCAGGGCATTGTCTGTATAAATGTTTATGTTGAAAGTATTCAAGTTTACAAGTATTTTTAGACTAGCTTCTAGCAACTCAGAAAACAAATAAGCAGTTTTGCTATTGATTATTAGTTTTTTCATTTTTCAAACAGAAGACATTCTTGTTCATCTTTAATGACAGTATTTAGACACTATATACTTACTGGTTTGACATGTACATTTTACATACTCAAAAAGGTATGCAAAGTCAATTATATGTATTTTAAGGGCTTGAGAGATATTCAGTCCTGAACTGGAGAAGCTATTCCAACACCAATCTCCCATATAGGAGAAAGCATATAGCATATATGCTATATATCAATATAGCATACAGTACATAGAACTTATGCCATCCCCTGCAAAGCTTACAGGGGATGACTAAAAGAAGCAGAGCCAAAACATCTTTACATCCCACGGTCCCCAGTTTTCCTAGTCATCCTTTGCAGCTACTGACATACCAAAGCATCTTGAAGAGGGAAAAACAGATGAAGATACACAGAAATCATGAAGTAAAAAGCTGACCGTTTATTTAACGTGTGAAATAGTATATCCCATTGTGATAGAATTGTATTGTTCTATGATTAGAAGTAATTTGCCCCTAAATTTCCCACATAAGAATACTGTATTTGGCAGCTTTCGTATCAGAGTTGTTATCCAGCAGCAACCAAGACACAACTTCATAGTCTAAAAGATCTTCCTCTACAAAGGTCACTAGATAAACAGGCTGTCAGTATGTACTACAGTTAACAGGCAAGATGGTCAGGTGAAAACTCAATGACTTACAGGAAAAGGCTCCTTCCAGCTAGCACCAACAATAGACGGCCTTATAATGGCTGCATTTAATTTTGCACTTTCTTGCTGTACTACATATTCGGCTAAGGCTTTTGTATATGTGTAAGTATTAGGACTGCTGCCTATCAGTTTAGGAGTAATATCTTTCACTAGGCCATCATCCATCCACCTAAAGAAACAAAATAAGAGGCAAGTGTAAATTACTGTGTGCTGCTTCATCAGGGATGGGGCGGGGGGAGGGCTGGGGCAAAAACAATATGTAAAAAGGATAACCAGATTAAATAAAAAAATACTTCAGAAAGTAAAATTAAAATCCAATCTCTTATTTAAAACACCACCCAAGGCAAAAAAAAAAAAACACTGAACAAAACAACACACTAAAACCACCAAAGCATTAGCATTCCCCTACAAAATGCATAAGCACAGAGGAACAAGAAATTCTGTGAAGAAATTTAGGCAATAATTAAAAACTCAGTTCTGTATTTCATGTTTCTGCAACAATCCCAGTATCTAACACTAAACTAGTACACTTTAAATCTCAGCTTGATTTTCAGAATTTAATACCAACTCCCACTGAAGTTAGCATGTCACATACTTCTTTCTACTTTAAACAGCTGGAAGTTTAAAACATTTCCATAAGCATTTGAATATCAAACAATAAATGTCTACTGACAGCTTATACTGCGTTTAACTTTAAAACCACATAGTCTCCTAAAATACCATTCATCAAAATATAGGAGTTCAGGTTTTTTGCTTATTTAAACTGAAGGCCAATCCCAGAGGCCAGAAAAATCAAGTTTAATAGAGTCTGTCTATTACTCATTTTGATTATATGCTACTATTTAAATTAAGGTGGCAACTGCATATGTAGAACCCTTCTGAAAAGGGAATCTTAAGGAAGAAGGTTATATTTGAGATCCTACAGCAGCAGCGTAGTTAGGCTGATTTAAGGACATTACTACCAACTTACAGAAGACTGTTTATACTGACTTCATGCTCATTTTGTTTCAAATTAAACCATAAAACCTAAACTCCTGAAAGTAAATGCCAGTAACAAAAAAAAAAAATCTTTCACCAGAACATGTGCCCAGTTCCAAAACTGTTTTGAAACTATTTCATATGGTATACTGTAGAAAGTAAGTATATTTATGAACTTGGTTAAATACCAAATCTTTTTTTTTCTTTTGTTGTTAAAGTTACCATGAATTTTTTTTCTCTTTCAAAGAAAAAGGGATACAGACTGAAACGAAAACAAGTTTCTCAGTAAAAGAGAGGAGGCCTGTATGTTCAGCATCCACTGAGAGAAGCATACTGCTATTTACTTTTTTTGCCCAAGTAATTAATTTATTACATACCAACTACAGAGCAAGTAGTACATTGCTTTATAATAATCTTAATTCTATCAACTAAGTTCTCAAACATGAAGCGCAGACACAGCAAGCTAGTCTTTGGGACACAGGCACACTGCTCCTCAGTTAGCATTAAGTGATCTAGAAAGTGATGCCATTGGAAAGGAGTCCCAGCTGTATTACAAGCATCACCTCCACCTTTGTGGTGTTAAGCAATCCCACCCCTCTGAAGTAAGCTGGTTCACCATGTTTCTTTTTCTCCTTAATTTAGTTAAGTCTTGCAATTTCATCTTGCTTCCCAATTCATTCAGCAGTTTGTATTTAAAATTGTAATAACCTTCAGCATACAAGCACAACAGATATGTGCCTTTTGAACTATTGCTACTTTGGTGTTCTCCACTTCAAAACAGGACTTGGATTTTATTTGCCTCAGCCACCTAACATTTTAGCCACATAAATGGAATTTAGCCAACATTGTTATTGTTTTTCACCAATGTTCTGTTACATCAAAGCTGACATGCATCAGACTGCCTTCATGATATGAACTGGGCTGGGAAGAGGGGTAGAAAAGCCCAGAAACAGATTTGTGTCCCTTTCTATGTGTTTCAGTCAGCTGTTGGCTAGAGAGATCACTCTTGTCTAAGTTTACAAAAGCTTTCCCTCATTGCCGTGAGTTCTAAAATACAGACAGCTGTCCAAGTCTCAACCAAGCAGTTTAAGTTATATTTATCCTGCTTGTGAAAAGATAGACAAAGATATGACTATTTCAGAATATCTCATTTGAAAGTGTATTTAAAGTCAACATTATAAAAACAGGTTGGCTCAATGTGCATTCTAGGTAGTAGCTCATTTGTTTTTAATGTTAGTGTTCTTCCATCTACAGTAACAAAAAGTAAAATATCTTCTTTAACTTAATTATTTATTTTTAGTTTCATACTTCTCTTACAAAGGGTGATATTTTCTATGACAGGGAAGAAGGAAGAGACCAATTTAGAGATGAGATTATTATTTATTACATTACACTTGACTTATCCCATTTTGCCACCTATTTCAGGTAGGGTTTGACAGCTACTGAATAAGACCTCAGGACAGCTAATATACATAGAAAATAAAATATAGAGTGAGTAATTTTTTCCCCCCAGTAATGCCCAATTCAAGACTAAAAAGCTACAGAAACAGATTTTTCATGTTTGCGCTCTGAATTCCTAACGGAGCTACTTCTACAGTCGTGTTTCTGAGCAGTTAAGTAATATTATTTCAGTATCTCAGACTGATTTTGCTATGGTGTTTAGGTGGATGTAGTGGAGGCTGCTGTTAAAGGGGACTGTCTTGTTTTTACCCCTTTCCTTCACAATGCCAGTGCCAGCATACTTGTAACAGCACAGCTTTTTTGTTTTTAATAGCTCCTGATTCAGCTCATCACACAGCTGAAAAACTGCCACTCTCAGCATATGTGAGGCATCACGAATAGATAGGAGCATCCCCCTTCTTCAGTACTACTCCACACCTAGCTCAGCTGAAAGTGACTATAAAACCTTAGCCCACCACCTTTACAGATAAGGGAAGCGTCAGCCATGCTGTCAGACTTACAGGACAGCATAAGCTAATTTCTTCATCTTTCAGATTCCTAACTATTTTTTGGTACTTCATTACTAGGAAGCAAGAGGTTACAGATTACTGAAGTAACACCTACTCAAGAAAATCAATCAGTTTCCCAGGATCAACAGAAGGTGGATAAACTATTTCCTCAATATGTTTTCGATCACAATATGCAAAGGCAGTTGAAACATGCATGAACACTTCCAGATTCTTCATTTGCTGTGCCAAGAAGAGGAGCTGTTGTGTGGCAATCACATTTAACCGAACAGCATCTCTGTTGATTAAACAGAAACTTGATTAACAGAAAGCAAGATAAAAACAAGCAAAAAGAAATAACTAGTCAATTCACTCCTAAATGTCGCAGTGATAGGCACATAAAGTATTCCTAAACACCCCACCCTCCTCAAAAAAGCATCATAGACAGTGTCCTAACTTTCTGCTTAGAACAATACACTGCAGTCTTAATCTAGAACATCTCTCAATGTTCAGGATAATTTTCCTAAGTTTTACCCTGTTCTTATTGTCATCCTCATGCTCTATTACTAGAGTAGGAAAGTCAGCACACCTTTGATCTCCTTAAGCTAAATCCCAATCCTACATTTTTAATAAAATGTGAAGGAAATGATGCAACACAACACCTAGCTGCCACATGAGATGCATGTCAGTTTTAACAGCATCTCTGAACTTCCTAGTTCAAGTTGGGTTAGGTCTACAACTTGGAAGGCTCAGAGGGCTAGTAAGTTGGAGACCAGCACCTTCTTGTAGAATAGCACAAGGCTCAATAGCACAACAGGATTACAGGAAGGAAGGGGGGTGGGGGGGAAAGGAAAACCACCAAGAACCACACTTTCATCCTCTAACTTCACTGCTTCTCATTAAAAGAGAGTCCTAGAGGACACTGTAGGAGAGTAGGTATATCTCTACAATTCCCACCAGAACTCAGCTTACAGACCCACTACTATGATTTTATACAATTCAGGTATTCTCTCCAGCCTACAAAACTTACTAAGGGCGCTAGTTTTCTTGTACACAGTGCAGTAATCAATTAAGTTTCAACAATACAGCTGAACAAAGCTTTATCAAAGTCTTTGCAATAAAGTGTTACATTAATAAAAAAAATATTGGTCCCCCCTGAATAAGCACTAAGTTTAAGACTGCTTTATCACACATTATTACTGAAGCATTGCGGGGACAGGAGAGGGGGGACCACTGTCCCAAAGCAATTAACATCAATGGGAAGTGTTACTTCTCAATATTTTTTTTTTAATAAAGTATTATTAGTATTTTACAAAGTATTATCAGTCTTCACTGCCTCTTTCAAGAAGCCAAAGGAAAGAGTTCATAATCAGAGCTGTATCCACTGATACAGAAGTGTATAGCAAATACAAATTAGGAAGAGTTCCAAAATAAGCCCAAGTATTTTACTTTCCTGACCTTATTCCTACTACTGGCCCCAAGCCAAGTATTTTGAACTTTACATTAGTTATTCATGTTAAATATCTGATGAAGGCTGCTCTAGGTGGCCTTCAGATTTGTAAGGTTCCTCTAACTATTCCAGCACATCTGTTACGAAAGAGTTGGGCCCAGAGGACCTAAGAAATGCTCGCATTTTCTATTTTGCTAAACAACATACTGGGCCTGCCGAGAAAGCAGAAGCTGCCAGAGGCTTTTTGCACCAAGACCCCATTCCACCAGTCTTTCAAATTGTTTTAAAGTCTCTCTGGGCTTTTGTCAGCTTGGCAATTCTTCAGCATTTCAAGACTATGAAACAGTGATAAACATGGGCTACCTCATGATGTTTCAGCATACAGTATAGCATTCTTAGAGAGGTAGTGCCAACCTTTGTAACAACTCAAAGAAAATCCGAGTTGAGAAGTGTTTTATCTCAAAGTTGCTTCACTCTCCCTCACCCCATAAAAATTGGAGCTATTCTTCACAAAGTCATTTACCCAAAATGAATATTTATTCAAGTGTTTCAACACTAAATCAAGTCATTGTTTTTGCCAAAAGGCAAATACAATCTTCTCTTGCTTCTGGTACTCCTTTCTCTAGTATTTCCTTAATAGATTTTCTGTACAACATGGAAGTTTTCACCTTTCTCCCTGTGCATCTACTTCTCCCTACTCCCTCCAATGCAAACCTCTACTCTTCTTAAAGAAAGACTTTCTGAAGAAAGCTGAGCAGTATTTAATCTCCTGTTTGTTCATCAGGTAGAGAGCAAGTGCTAGAACTTTCCCCCCACACAGTTTTGCCAAAAAGTTATCCTCTGAAAACTTGCATTCCCCTTCTAACAAGGAAGGCTAAAGGAATAGTTTGTGTTCCCTTTTACACACTAGGAAAAAAAAGCTCTAACATTACTAGGGAGCAGAGTACATACAGCTACAGCTTATTCATATCCTTTCTATCCATCCCAGAGATCAGAGCAACACATGATGTTAGGAAGACTCAGAATAGCAACATGTTCCCTAGTCTCTTCAACAGCTTTCCTTCAAAAAGACTTCGAAAATCAGGCACAGGGATTTAGTTAAAGAAAAACCCACACCCAAAACAAACAAAAAAATTCAGACACACAAAACCTGAGGGGCCTATAACAAAAGTATGAAAATAATTTATTTCGTTTCTAAGCACTAATAATGGATTTGGGTTTTTGCCTAAAGCTTTAAAAAGATATGAACTTTTCCATGTTGAATAGTGTAATTCTAACCTCTGGCAAACCAGGTTTAAATAATATGCCTCCATCTTGCTAAGAAGAGCAAGTAAAAACCCAGCAGCTTAAGATAAGTTTGGGGGAAAGACTGTTACCTTAAGGGGCTTCATGAAATTCACCAAGCACACAAACATCAGAGTACATGAAGTAGCCTGACAGGCTGAATATTTGCAAGATTGTGCAGACACCTGATTTACCTCCTCCCTTGGAGTACCATTGGTTTACCAGACCAGAGTATACAGAATTTTAGACTTACCTTAGTGTTTCATTGAATCTGACTGTAGCAGCACAATGAAATACAATATTAATGCAGTTTATAAGTTCTTCCTTGATTGGTCCACTAATGTCCAGATCAGGCTGTACAAGTTCACTTGTAACTACTATTATTTTTGCTCTGAAGTCTGGCTGCTCGTCTCTCAACCTGTCAAAGAGCTGTCAAAAAAAACAGGACTAAAAATTCAAACTAATAGCCAGTGAAGATAAGAGAGAGATGTTTAATTTAAGTGAAGAAAACACTTACATTTTCCGCCTATGCAGAGTTATACTGATGATCTTGAGAAGTAAGTTAGAAAAGTGTTAGGAATATTACAACAACACGTTACTGACTTCCCCTGAACATACCCAGCGATGAAGTTGTGCACACTGAAAGCAGTATTGCATGTGTTGTATAGAGGGTAGTAAGACTTAAGTTTGCACTTAATTTTTTTTTAATACTCATCCCTATCCTTAAAATCAGATCTCTATAAATATCAGAAGAAAGAAATGGTATCCATTAGACACCAGGACCCAAAGAAATTTTAAGTAGCGGTCTAAATACTGTAATCTCTTTTCTTTCAACAGAAGGAAAGGGAGAAGTCTGCCAACCTCCCAAGCTTAATAATAACTATTCAAATTCTTGTAGACTTGCACGAGTCATGCTGGTTTTTAGGTTTAGAAAGCTTTCATCAAGCTTTAAAAATTTCCAGTGATTCAAGAAATGCTATCCTAGACTTATGCCAGTTTTGGGGAACTTCCAGATTTAAAAAGTTGTTTCTCTGGCTAGTTAAAAGAAAAAGGCAGGGTTAAAGACTGTGTATCATGTTAGAACATCTGATAAAGTCTTATCAAATTGGTGTTCAACTATGAAAAAATCTCACCCATATTATATTCCATCATATATTCTCCTCATAATTAACCAGGTTCTAAGCATGTGGCTTAACGCACACAGATAAAAATTCTTGCCTCATCTTATTTACACCCATTAGCATGCAAGTTTTCCTGAACAAAATAGTACTGTGGCAATAAAACACTTTAAAGTTTCACCAGAGCAGACCCCTCTTTTTAATTGTACAGGAGCCAATATCTTAGCAACTGCTTCAACACAAGTCGATTAAGATGTATTAAAATCACAGCAAACTGGATGTTTTTCCCCTTCCAAACATCCAGTTAAAGTGACTACAAATAGCTAAGAGACATTTCCTTACAGAATGAAGGGAACTCAATTCATTTCAACTATAACTTAAGTCACCTAGAAGTACAGTTTCATGACTCTTAAGGCAATATAAGTTTGTACTGCTACCAAACAGATTGGTCCCTCTCCTAACTTCTTCATTTCCATGTTGCTTCTCCTGCACTGGCAATAGCAAGTAGCCCAATAGCTGTGTGAGCATACAAGCTTACTGGTCCAGCCGAAAATAATAGGCATTTTTGTAGATTTTTTTTTCAGCTCAACTGTGAGCTAATGCAGCTCACTGTGTGGCCACCTAAAGTAGCAGTGGTAATGCTATAGTGAGAATATGGGACATCTCCAGTGATAGAGGTCTTGAATTGATTTCCCAAACACGAAGGTTCCCCTTAAAGGACAAAGCTGCCAAGACAGCATTTAAAGCCTCTGCAATTCTTAGTTCACGGGGTACAGCAAACAGTGCTTACCTAAGGGCAGGGAAGCCTTTTATCATTTTGCAAATAAGCTTGCTATGTTTTTAGTTGGAATGATGGTACCTGCCTCTAGGGAACTGAAGCAACACCTTTTAACCATATTAATGTGTTATGTATTATAATAGAAAAGCAGTCCCATGGATAAGCACTTAAACAAAGAACCAGTTTGGTACTTTTAGTTTGTATGTTTTATCCGTTCTGCCCCTTTTCACATGCATAGCCATACATTATTCTGACATAACTCGTATTAGCACTGACACCAGTACAAAGAGAAGAAGAACACCTAGAGTACATGCAATACATATGGCAAATTAACAGAGGAATTGGATATCTGAAGTCCAAAGGAAGTAGAAACCTCAACATTTTTTGGCTATTCGCAGCTCAATTTATTTTAATTATCACATTCATCCATTTAAATTTTAAACTGTTCAAGAAACGGAATGTCCAAGAATCTTCAGAACACTTAACGAGCCCATCCAAATTGTAAAAAATTACTGGCAGAGCCCTTAACAAGTGGACAACTTAAGACAACATATCCTATTAAAAATTTTCATACTCTTTTGGAGGAATCTTGATTACATTAATGCCAGTTAAACAACACACTTTCAATCTAATTTGTCTCACCATGTGATGAGGACAACAAATATCTGGCCCTATATACATCTCTGCATAGATGTGCAACACCATCCCTTCATGTTCTCACTCTAGGGACTAAGATGTAGGACTACCTCAAGCAGTAGTCCTGCTTACCAGGACCTCTGTTGTAAACCTGTTCCAGCAATAAGTACTCAACAAGACTCATAAAACACATCAGATTATACCAAGTCCAGCTGAGATAACAGACTATAAGCAGAAGATTTGGACTCAAAGTTAAAAGCCTTTTACAACACATGAGTTTCCCAAAAGCTATACTGAGGCTTAAGTCTTACTGAAGTTTAAGTCAGCACACACTACTGCTACTCTCCCCCCTGCCCGAATATTCCCCACTTTTTATTTGGGTAATAGTGTATACAAAAAGGGGATTGAGAAACTTTTCCTTTCTCATCTCAGAGCTTAGTCTGGATATCTTTTCCTTGTTTCAGGGAGTGAAACTGAGGGTTTTATGTAGAAAGAATTTGCAACTTGATTTTAAGACAGAACCCCACTGTTACTCATTCTGCTGCATTCTATGACATCGCACAGGACTGCAAGCAAATGCTTTTGAGCAATGAGCTAGAGTTTTGACGTGGTTACAGAAAATAATTTATTAGGGACACAGCCATCCTCATGTCTGCTGTAACCTTTACTAGTCAGAGTCGCAGAAATTCATTGCTCTACTTTAAACAACTTACCCCTCCTAGCCTAAATTCATTCATACTTCTTATTGATTCCCTTTAAACACCTTCTAAGCACACATTTCGTAGAGACTACATTGCATCTCAACATATTTCCTAAGCCTGAAAAATTAAATTGCCAACTCCCATGTCCCATAAGAGATAGGACCTGGAGAGAAATGAATAAACCCTGCTTTAGCAAAGTTCATGCTAGAAATCTCTCCCCTTCCTGTTCATCCTTCTCATCGTAAACGGGATACTCTGTATTAGAGAGATGGGCAACACTGATGAATGGTTCTGCATGTAGCAAGAATGCCCAGCCTAGCTCACCAGAATATTAAGGTAATGAGTCTTTTCAGAAGGAAAGTATCCCACCCAGCATGCACAACAGAACTTTTAGATAACCACTTTGGTACTTTCACAGCACAGAATTTCAGTGCCTTTCCTTTGTTATCACAGGTTTATAGTAATCTCTATGACCAACAGAAATCCATAGTAGAATCTATTAAGACAAACATTTCTGTTCTGTTTACAAACATAAGCTATTTAAACAACTGTTAGAACACATTCTTGCTTACTGGTAGATCCAAAGGCACATTCAAGGAAAAGGAAGTACTAAGCCTCATCTTACAGAAAAGAAAATAAGGCACAAGGATAAAGAGATCTAAAGAAGGGACTCAATCCCATCTTACAACTCCCAGTCCACCCTGCTTCTTGCACTTGATCATACATTCTCTTAACAAGTTTTAACTCAGGTGTTTTACTTCTCAATTCTACATTACAGCTGAACATCCTCCTCCTGAATTAAATTCAGGATAATTTTCCATTACTGGCTTTGCTAGAGACTAACAGCTTGAAAATCAGCCATAGAAGCACTACCAGATCTTGGATTTTATATTTCTGTTAGAACAACAATATTTTGCTTTAGACAAACCAAAGTTGTTCTCAAAATGAAAAGGGAATGTTATAAAGAAGGACAAAAACGTGAGCATATGACACATACCTTACAGCTGGTAATTTCTTCTACTCGTGCTTCAGGTGTCTGCCCTGCTTTGTGTCTTACCAATACATACACTGCTTTCACTTTAGGACAAGATCTGAGCAGCTTTTCCAGAAGCACTTTTCCCAAGAAACCTGTAGCTCCTGTCAGGAGGATGTTCTTTCCTTCATAGTATTCAGGGATGGAAACCATTATGACCTTAACAAAAGTTAAAGACAAAAGTATATTAAAGAACTTCCAGGAGTTCGGATTTGCAGAAGATATAAATAAACAGCATAGATGCAAACATTCAACCTCATACCTGACAGAAATGTTTAACAGTAATTTTTTTTTTTTTTTTAACTTACAACCAGTACTTAAAGATGTCTTTTTTCACCACATTCCAGAAGAGTCCCACAGGGTCACTATAGTTATTCCAGATCTTCTTGTAAACTGCCCCTGTTAACAGTCTCTTAAGGAATTAGACACGCACTCAGTCTAGGAAAATAGCTCAACTTTAGTCTATTTTTACCTCTATGCGCATGGTCCTTTACCACTCTAAGTGGCTGTTCCTGTGCATGGTCCTTTACCACTCTAAGTGGCTGTTCCATGTAAATTAAAGGTCGTACCATTAAAATATAATCACAAGTAGATACTTCAAATATGTTGACAGAAGACAGGGAGCCAGCCATCTGCCAATTGCTGGCCCTGGTATTTTGCCTATGTCAGCAAAGTCCCCTGTCAGTGTTAGGCTGAGCCTTCCCACACACATGGCTAGGCCAGAGAAAAGGTATAGTTAGTTTCTTGGTATGAGAAGAAACTGCTGGTTCTACATTGATTACAAAAAAATCATACAGTTTCACAGATCATACAGGCTTCCAACCTTTTCATCAGTTCAGTATTCCGCCCCCCCAAATAAGTGATTAGAATTCTCACACAAACTGAAGATATAAGTTAGCCACAAATATGCCTCCTAATGAAACGAGGGGCAAGGGATTGTTACTCAAATCCAGCACAAAGCTCAAAGATATTGTATGTTTTGCTTCAGTTAGGAAGTTAACTATGAGAATTATTCTTTCTTTCCCCTCCCTTAATCAACCACTTGGAGATTATGTCTAATTCTAGATACTGGAAACTGAAAGACTTTCTAAGGACAAATATACTGCTATTTTTTACACTAATGTGATCTTTGGACCATGACCTTTGTGACTTTTAGAACTCAACCCATGCCTCAGGCTAACTTCAAGCCATTCTGTTAAGTCCAATATACCAACATCTTTACCGTAATCCTTAAACAGCTTACTTTTACTGTAGAAGACTGTAGCATATAGATACACTTCCACCATGTTGTACCAATCTTTCTAATCAGACTTATAAAAATAACAAGCTGATATAGTGAAAGTCTAGTTGTAGTCTCCTATAGCAGATCCACACAGAATCCATTACAACCAAAACACTACCAGAAGGGACAGATTCCATAAAACCATGGTACTAAATAAACCCAACAAAAATGAATCTCTAAACACAGTCAGAGAGTGTTCTTAAGCTAGTAAGAATTACTACACTGAATACCTAAACAGGATGAGAGCCTTTCTTCACCTACCACCCAAGAATAAAGGAATACAAAATATACTTAGTTCTTTTGAAACAGCAGGCTACTGCAAGCAGGAACTTATCAGGGAATACACATGAGATGTTGAATGTTAGGAGTGAAAAAGTACAGGCTTAATTTGTACTTTTTGCCTGAAAAGTAAGTAAATATTTTTGGAACACTTGTCTACATCTCAGATAGCTGTCATATTAAAGCAATTGTGCTGTGCTTTTCATGTGTTCATATCGCAACAAAGCCTCTGAACAAGCTCTAAATGATTACTTGCCAGAAATGAGTTACCACCTGCACAAGCCCCAGTTTCAGCAGTCTGGGTACAAAGTCTTATGTTTTGTTGTCCAACACTCCAAATCTTATTTTGACTCCCTTCTTTGACAAGGTCAGCTCCTGCATTTATTAGTGAAGCATCTAAAAAACTGATGGTGGGATACAGCAGCAAGTTTAGAACAGAACAACTATTTCCATTGGCCACAGTACATCATTCCAAGTTGTTTCTTTGAAGGTTGATGAGACAGAGAGGTGGATGGAGGGAAAAACCTATTTACATTAAACCACTCTTGCCACATACTTAAGAGTCTTTAATGCAAATTTCAAAGCACACCTCCTGCAATAAAGCATGGAGAGCAAGATACAGCATGCTCATGAGTCATTTTTTCCTGTTCAATGTAAGATACGGGCCTGTTGTCTTCACTGTGGCTCTTGAATAGTAGAGAACATTAATTGTGACTTCAAGTATGTCCTTATGTTCTCCCCATAACTTCCATTTTCCTGGTCTCTGCATACACCATTCAACTCTATTTCCTCCTAAAAATCTGCATGCTTGCTCCCACATATAGGATAAGACTTCTGTTCCCTCAAATAGGGAAGAGAAGACTCACGCAACTATTACCATACCAATTTTGTCACCAAGATTCAGTCTTGTTCTGGTTCCTACATAATCTTGTTACTAATTTACCTGCCTAGCCATAATTCATATCTTTTACCCCCTTAAGACACTATGACAGTATGTTAATACCATCAGTTCACTTGCCCTTCCGCAACGGAAGGCTTAATACTACTTCTGACATAATGCTGTATCCTCAGTCTGCAAACCTGTTCACATGGGCAGAGACAGTCCTTGGCTACGTAAACACAGGAATCTTGCTACAACATCCAGGACATGGGCTACAGTCCAACATCTGTTTCTAAAAGCTAAAACAATGAAAAAAGTTATGCTACCAGTAAAAACATCTGTGTTGCTATGGTACAGCTTTTTAGCTAACTAAAAAATCTGACAATATTTAGGGTCATATGATGTAAAGAAAACTAGAAGCCAGGATAGATAAGAAAGTTTCCTGCCTCAGTTATTTCTGACCATACTCCTTTGAGTAAGAGGTTGGTATCAGATCAAAAGTAATTATATTATTCTCCTGAAACTCTTACAGAATACCAGACCTACAGAACATCCAGATCCAAAGCTATGATTAAGTATAATGATGACATGGGTTCACTTAAAAAACCACGAATATACATCAATACTACATTCACACTTGAGAGGCAGCAACACCTCTATGTTTGCAGGGTTTGGGTTTTTTTTTTTTTTTAAAAAGGATTGACAGAATTGTTTCCTTTGAGAAACTCTCAACACCCATTTCCCTTTACCCCACTGTCCAACAACTAGCCTCTGGTAGACTTTATTCATAGCAATTTTCCACACTAAGTTTGTCTTCTACTTCGATTCCTCTAGAAGATTCCAGCTAGAAAACAGAATTGGTGACCTTTTCAGACGTCTACATTGCTGCTAAAGTTACAGCAATAAATACTGGGACTGTGAGGGAACTGCCTAGAAGCACCAAATTTCAATTAAGGGTAAAAACCATGTATGGAATCTAGGTGTGAACGAAGAAAGCCTGAAATAAGCAGCCTATGTTTTGCCCTACTAGAAAGAAAGGTTATCTCAACCATAGGAAAGGGAAAGAACGTTCCCATTCTCCACCTACCTTTCCCTGCCTTCTTTGAGAATGCACCTCCACATGCCAGTTAGCATAGCATTGCTGGCAACTCCTAACTTCACGCTCAGAAGGGACTTATTTCACAGGTATAATATTACCTTTGTTACCTTTAGAAGTTATTTATGGCAGCAAATTACTGAAGAACTACATCATAATTGTGTTTATTAAAAAAAAAAGGTTAAGAAATAGATGTAGCTCCCAGTGGAAATTTAGTTTGACCTCTAACGCATGACAGGCTGGAGTAGGTCCAGAAGAGGTACCTACCTTGCAAGACAACACAGCAAAATAAAATTTAGCATTTTAAGATTAATATTTAAGTGTCAGCAATTGTTCTATCTAGTTTTAGAGTGCAACTTCTTGCCTGTTTGCAATAGCTGAATTGTACCTATTAACCAGCAATACGTATTTTCACCAGTTGTCCAATGACTTGTTAACAGCTACCTCTTCAAACATGCAGACAGGTAACTTCTATCAAATGCAAAATTGTCTAATGCACACTCTGGAATATCTGAATCCCTGCATCATAGCTACTTTTTTGGAGCTAATAAGTAATAACAGTCGAGAAAAAAGAAATCTGACAGTTGAAAGGATTAATAACAGTTCTGTAAAGGATTTTTGCTGTAGAACAGGGATGATCAAAATTACTAGATGATTTGTAGGGATAAGCAGCCTTTGGTAGAGGAAGCTTCTGTTGCTGCTACAGAGAAACTGATGCTAGGATATTTCTGAATTCACAGGTTCAGGACTAAACCAACGGTGACACTTTGAAGACACCGCTTATTTGAAGGGTGCTGTCCTTTGATAAATCAAGAGCTCCTAAGCACTTCAGTAAAACCCCACACTTCAGGATCCTAGCCAACATTCCCCATCTTGTAAAAAAATTCTAGTGTCCAAGGCTGAGCAAGTGCTATTATGGAGCAAACAACAGCGGCTCTGTTTGCCTTCAGAGCTACTGCAGCAATATTTAACTCATTGCTTCAAACAGAGGTCTCTATGACTCTCAAAACAAGGACAATTCTGTTTTTAACAGGAAGAAGATCAATTCTCAGATTTGTCTAGACACAGATCCAGATGCTTAAAGATTTACTTTCCAAGTGCCAGGAAAGCCTACTGCAGTTCCACTGAATGTTTAAATGCTAAATCCAGCAACTAGAGCACGCATGTATGTCCTTGTTAGAGATTAAAAGGTCTGTTTTCTAGTTTTATCACTGACAAACATTAGGTCAACAACATGCTCCCTCCAAATTCATATTGAGATTATAACTCACAGGAAATAGAAAACATATTTCCCAACCTCTCAAGCATCAGCAACAAGCCACAGAGTTCTGCAAAAATACAGCCTGACAAACTAATTTCCCCCCTTTCCCTCCGACAGCTTGAACCTAGTACTAGCAGCAGTACAACAGAAAAGAGGTCTAAAAGTAAGGTGGAAGAAACAGTTTGTTTATGTATATTCAGGAGATGAAGTCCATCCTAGATATCAAATCTGAATGCACCAAATATTTTTTAAACACATGCATGCATCCACACCAGACAAAAATCATTACAGAAGTCCCTCATATAAAGCTTCAATTGCCCCATTGGAAGGACACTATAGCAAGCAAAAAAAAAAAAG